GAAAAAAAAATAAGAAAACCATCTCTGTCTGAATTTCCGGAGTAATGAGATGTTATTATTTATGGTAATGGCATGAGAGTCGATGCTGAAACTTCACAACAATTTTTTTTTTACTAAGACCAGTCTGTCAAGGCGACGTCTGAAATGAAAGGGCGTACGAAGTCACGGTGTGTCACTGAATTAATCCATGCGGAAAAAAATTGCACCAACTGAGATTCATCGACGTTTTCTGAAAGTTTTATAAAGGCTAAACAATGGACGTAAGCGCGCAGTCAGACGATGAGTTATGTGCTTTAAGCGGGGTAACAAAGATGTGTGCGACTAGCCATGTTCTGGGCGACATTTAGATAACTATCAAAGAAAGCACGCCTCAAAAAATAGATTGACAATTGGAGTAACTGTGTGGAAACATAATGTTTTGGAGGTCAAGACTTACAAATCAAATCCCACGGTGTGTTTCCATTATCTGCTGTAATTTCTTTGAAGATAATTCGAAGACATTGCTTTCGGAGCGTCCATTACTCACATACACATGCACATACATCTAATATGATCAGACGCCTTCTCAGTGTTTTGAACAGGAATTGAGGTCTATCCCTTGTTTCCTGTTTAGTGCTTTAGTCTTTTTCATCCTCTTTCATTTCCAGTAAACTATTGCGTTTCAGTGGTATTATCGCCTTACTTGGGGTGAATTGATTAAACTTTTGCGCCCCACTTTTAGTTTCAGTTTAACTCCTCATTCTACATTGAACACCCAATCTAATGTCATAAGGTTAATATCCGAGTTGATTTTATAAAACCTCTTCCTCTTAAGACTAATATCTTCAACGTTCCCCTTACCACCGACTCGAGCATTTCATCTGAATGAAACGTCGAAATGGATAAATTCTGTATCAATTTTTCGACTGCTGTCAAAGTTAAATTTTAAATTTATAATTCCGACATGAACACAGTCTACACACCGGGGTTGAATAAGACTAATATACTTCTCGTTAGTTGATATAGATACATACGATCCTCTTATTAGGTAATTTTGGATTTTGTTGTGTAACACACACACACACACACACATATATATATATATATATATATATATATATATATATATTATGAAATGGAAAAAGTTCGACAATTATTTTAAGACATTTTTATGTTTATACATTCCTTTTTATAGATACAAATATTTAAGTAAATGCTCTGTTTATAATAAACAGAATTAACAACATTTAACGGCCCGAATGTCCGAGAAATTGTCATAGAAAATATTCGTCCTTAGACAGGGATCGAACCTGTATCCTATACGGAACCGTCATATAGCCTGACGTGCTTTTACCGATTTCGCCACAGGGGAAGCGTTCGGTTAGCGAGGTCGATTTTACTGTTTTTAAACTACAATTTTCCATGATTTTCTCACGTAAATTCATATCTGCTCAATGCGTATCCAAATGTAAACAAATGACGTCACATATTATGAAATGGACAAAGTCCGATAATTATTTTAAGACATTTTTATGTTTATACATTCTTTTTTATAGATACAAATATTTAATTAAATGCTCTGTTTATAATAAACAATATTAACGACATTTACCGGCCTGAATGTCCGAGAACTTTTTCATAGAAAATATGCGTCATTGAATGCACTGTAACAGTGAGAAATATTGCCTAAGTACTTTTCTTTCTGAGATCATCATCAGCGGTGCAATTGGTAAGGCAAAACTATGTGTAGCTATCCATTAATGATATGGCTAAAGCATAACTGTCAGCTATAGCATTTAAACGCAAAAGGAAAATTCAGTAATGGATCACTACACATAGATCACAGAAAGAAATGGAAAGTACTTGGGTAATAAAAGTGATTCTGTTACAGTGCAGAGGGAGGAAAAGAGAGAGATTCGTACCTTTCCGAAGGATATTTGTGCGTACGTCAATATAACGAACGATTAGGATTTGAACGCGGCTCTGCGAGTTCTCATTCTGGTAAAAAATAGTTTTTCATTTGGTTTCGATCAGTCAACGTATGATTGTTTTAGAGAGTGTGGCGGATTAAAGAAAGTCACAGAATTACACACATATATATATATATATATATATATATATATATATATATACATGGTATCCATAATGTTCGTGTGCACTTTAAAAAATCTGTAACTTTATTTGTATTTGCGATAGAAGTAATCTGTAAAAAAATGTTATAAAGTTTAATGTACCTAGTTTTAAGTATAGCTAAAATAACTAACGTGATTACAGGCATTACTGTAAATCAGGTGGCAAATGTTTTCCGTGAACTGCAAAATCGTATTGCCCTTTGTATTGCTAATGATGGAGGACATGAGGAAACTTAAATAAAATTTCAATAAAACCTTAAAGATTTACTTCTTTCTAATCGTTTTTACAAATTATTTCTATTGCAAATACAAATAAAGTTACAAATTTTTTAAAGTGCACACGAACTTTTATGGATACCCTTTATGGATATATATATATATATATATATATATATATATATATATATATATATATATGTGTGTGTGTGTGTGTGTGTGTGTGTGTGTGTGTGTGTGTGTGTGTGTGAAGAAATATAGTTTTAAGGTGTGCTATATTTATAGGATAAAGTGCTCGATATCAGAGATAGAACGTATGTAAATATAAATATAAAAATGAACATTGAAGTCAACACTCAGAGGCGACAGGCTGTTTCATCTAGACGCAATCGTCAGGCCGCGTGTGTTGGTCTTTTTTCTCGACTCAAAAAAGCAACACACATGGTCCAACGATTCGAAAACTCGCAGCCTGACGATTGCGTCTAGCATGAAAACAGCCTGTCACTTCTGAGTGTTGAGTTCAATGTTCATTATATATATATATATATATATATATATATATATATATATATATATATATATATATATATTGAATAAATAAATCGAGAACTCATCTCGACACTCAGGAGTAAGAAATATCAATTAATTTTTTTTTATTTTTTATTTGTTCTTACTCCTAAAGTGTGAATTTATTAAAAGATATGATATCTGTTTTAAAATACATTACATAAGAAACGTTATTTTTACACACACACACACACACACATGCACACACACATATATACACAGGCCTGACGATTGCATCTAGCATGAAATAACCTGTCGCCTCTAAGTGTTGAATTCTATGTTCACTTTTATATTTACACACGCTCTATCTTTGATATTGAGAATTTTATCCTATAAATATAGCACACCTTAAGAGTATATATCTTCATATATATATATATATATATATATATATATATATATATATATATATATATATAGGGTATCCATAAAGTTCGTGTGCACTTAAAAATTTTATAACTTTATTTTACATATATATATATATATATATATATATATATATATATATAAAAAATGATAAGATAAAAACTATTCTTCTTCGACGCGTTTTGTCCTCTGAGGGACTTTATCATGACATTTGCCTTGATAAAGTTCCTCAAAGGACGAAACGTAGTTAGCAATAATCTTACTATCTTTTATACATGTTTTGATAAACAAGGCTCACAAGCAACGTTGTTTAGTTTTTTTATTATTATTATATCCCCCTTCTATATATATAGCGATTTTCTAAGCATAGCTTAGATGTGGCACAAGGCCGAATATTCGGAGCACAAAATGAGGCCCAAACTCACTACTCAATTGTGCTAGCAAGACAAGGTTGCTAACATTTAAACTACGTCGAAGTACTAAGACTTTTATGTGTATAGATGTCTTATTTGCTGAATTTATTGACTGCAAAGATTGTCCAAGTTTCGTTGATGCAGAGTGCTTTCGGCTATACTGATAATCATTTCCAAGGAATTTAGTTATATTACAACGATATATCATTTGTAAGTGCTGAAAGTAGATATAGTCTTAATTTACAGCAATTACATTGTGGCCGTGTTCATAAATGACATTTTTCAGGTTTGATTTTTTTTTTCTTTTTTGGCAAAGAGAGCTCCCACCGCTTTTAAACGCTTTTTGCATTTGGAGAATACGATTGGGATTCTTTCCTCAAGCTGCAAAAAAAGTGTTTAAAAGTGAATGAAGCTCTTACTATAAAACAAAACAAAAGAGAAGCCAGCTCTATAAATTTTTTATCCTCTTTAAGACCAAAACAGAAAACACTTCATACGCATAAAAATAAAACGACGTCTATGGAAAAGAACCTTGGGCCTTGTTTAACAATACACACACGCAAACACAAATATATATATATATATATATATATATATATATATATATATAGAGAGAGAGGAGGTAGAGGGAGATAGAGAAAGAATAGAGAACTTATAAACCGAGATTTTTTTACTTCAAAAGTTATTAAGAAAGATACACGTATTTGAAATAGACGCCCTGTATTTTGATTTTTTTTTTTAAATTTTGACATTAATCAGTGTGTATTACATCTATTGGTCTGTGTATTCGAGAAATCTCAATAAATAAAACGTAGTGGGGGGGCGCACTTCCTTTATTGAGAATTCTAAAATGGGACATCTACAAATAAGAGTATCCGCAAGAATAACTTTTGAAGTATATATATATATATATATTACAATAAACGTGCAATCAATTTACAAATACATGAATTATTCACACAAAACTAATGCAAAGGTTAATGATTTAAATGGCGAGACATCCATCATCGCTTGTAGTAAAAATAACAACTAATACGGCAGAAATTTATATAAACAAGGATCAATTCATTCATAACGGATCTGGAGGTTTTTGTGTACTATTTGAATTGTTTGCGATGATGGATGTCTCGCCATTTAAATCATTAATCTTTGCATTAGTTTTTGTGTGAATAATTATATATATATATATATATATATATATATATATATATATATATATATATATATATATATATATATAGAGCCGTTTGTGTATGATGCAGGAGTCCTTCATTTGGAAGTGAGAACGGCCTGATGATGATGGCGATTATGGTGTTATATAAAAAGTTTAAATAGACGGAGACAGATAGATAGATAGATAGATAGATAGATAGATAGATAGATAGATAGATAGATAGATAGATAGATAGATAGATAGATAGATAGATAGATAGATAATGAACAAACTCAGATAGATAGATAGATAGATAGATAGATAGATAGATAGATAGATAGACTCAGATAGATAGATAGATAGATAGATAGATAGATAGATAGATAGATAATGAATAGACTCAAATAGATGAAGAAGGGGCTAGCTGCACAGAAAGAGAGAGAGAGAAGGGGTGAGAGAGGAGAGATAGTGGGAGAGGTAGAGATTATCTGAACAAAAAAAAATCTAACGGCACTCGGCGGCAGACAATTCAGTTTGAAACTGGTTTCCCAGACGGACAATTAACGTCTCGGTCGCATCCTCTTTGAATAGGTTGAAACTTAATTAAACTAAAACGAAACATATGGCCTAGCCACATCAACGAGCTTTATCTAAGACAGAATCGGGAGTTAGAATGAAACTTGTTGTCACTTGACATCCATTATACACCAGATGATTTTTTTTTCACTTGCATTCAGATAAACAATAATATTAAATTATAAAAGTAGCATTGGAGTCAAAACAAAAGGATAAAATTTATAATTAGAATATTAAAAGCACACGTGATTTTGTCTATTGACATGACATTATTACAAGTTCTATTTCAGAATGCATGTGTTCGGGAATATGACTGCTATGAATGAAGTCAAACAATGGGTTGCGCCCCCACTTCGTTTTATTGTTGATTGATATTCAATAAGCTGAGCTTAATTCAGCACAAGAGACCAGATGAAAAGAAATGGTGCGAGGAAAACTACGGTATACTCATCTTCCAACTGACTTTGATAGATAGATAGATAGATAGATAGATAGATAGATAGATAGATAGATAGATACTGACCAGAATTAGATTTGATCAAGTAGATAGAGAGATAGAGAGATTTTATTAAATAAATAAAGATAGACTTGATCAAATAGATAGATAGAAGGAATGATTTTATCAAATTGATAAAGAGAGAGAGAGAGAGAGAGAGAGAGAGAGAGAGATTGGTTCACAAAGATAGATAGATAGATAGATAGATAGATAGATAGATAGATACTAACCAGAATTAGATTTGATCAAGTAGATAGATAGAAAGAGAGAGAGAGATTTTATCAAATAAATGGAGATAGATAGATAAATACTGACCAGAATTAGATTTGATCAAGTCGATAGAGAGATAGAGAGATTTTATTAAATAAATAAAGATAGATAGACGATCAAATAGATAGATAGATAGAGAGAATGATTTTATCAAATTGATAAAGAGAGAGAGAGAGATTGGTTCACATAGATTGATAGATAGATAGATAGATAGATAGATAGATAGATAGATAGATAATGACCAGAAATAGATTTGATCAAATAGCTAGATAGAGAGAGAGATTTTTCAAATTGATAAATAGAGAGAAAGTGAGAGATTGATTTGACCACATACATAGATAGATAGATAGATAGATAGATAGATAGATAGATAGATAGATAGATCAAAATAATGAGCAGAACTAGATCGATA